GTATTAATCCTGATGAAATTCTAAGCAATTTTGTTCTCTTCCTTTTTTGTCTAATCTTAACTCAACTGTATACATACGGTGTATAACGTGAGGTGTGAACTTCTGATGCGCTTCTGTGTGAAAAAATTTGAAACTCGAGGTTGTCTGAATGCTTTTCTTTCTCAAGAATAATTTCAAATGAGGGACTTTCATTTGTCCGTTAGAAATGTCATAATGTGGAAGAAAAGTTATTAGATCTGAACTGTTTTATCATAAGTCTAACTTCGTGTTTTTAATGAGTGTACAGAGCTCCCTAACACGAAGACCTGACTGTTCCGACTGTCCTTTAATCCATCTAGAGTAATTTTGGAAACTCAAATAAGGACAGCACATAAAAAAATACGACCAACTAGCTTGCCAATATTCATTCAAACTGGAAAGAGTTTGTTATGATGGATAATTAGTCTTCAGCGAGCACCTTATGATTTTTTTGTTTCCTATTTAGAAAAAAAGGAAAAAATAATTTGTTGCATGTTGTAGCGGTACCAGAGAGAACAACTGTTCACGATTTTTGGTTGTAAAACAATTTTAAGTATCATGGTTGTAGCCAATTAGCTATTGAATATGACTGGGACGACAAAAGTTCTGGCTTCGAATCTGACCAAGACCTGTATCACTTGAATCAGTTGGTTGAATCACCTTTATCACAGGAACCTTCGTTTCAAAAAAAAACTGTCGGCTTCTTATTTACCTGCTTATGTTTTGTCGGTTTAGTTTTCACATCTTATTGTTTTTGCTGTGTTGTTGTTCACTTTTTTTGTTTGCATTTACTCCTGCAACTTTTAATTCTACCAACCTTGACTTCGTATATTTGTTTTTTTTTTTGCCCCTGCGATTTTTTTTCCGATTCTTGGTTCTCGGTCTAGTTTCCGTCGGTTCGCTTTCCGTTTTTTCTAATTATCTTTTAGATTATCTACAACTAGTGTTTTAACTACCTACTTTGTGAAACATGGATTTTATTTTCATACGTATTTTTTCTTATTACTTGAAAGTTCTGTTATTTGTCAATTTACCATGTCTGATTATGAATAACTTTGTTTTTTTGAGATTTTTTATCGACTATATGGTTTTGATTGATGCTTTGATTTATTTTGACCGCCAAAAAAATCCTGTTAGACAAATTTAGGTATTATGAAAATGTATGAGATTGGGTTTTCTATTTTTAATTTTTTGAGAAGCTTTTTCACTTTTTGCAAACAATTAATTCAGTTAAAAACTACCTCGCCAAATTTCAAAAAATAGCGTATCAATTGTAATTTACCCTACTGTCTACAGCCTTAAAAAAATTGTGTGGGGTAAAATTTTCACCAATTTTTTTTCGTTTTACCAGAAAATCCTCTCCTAAATCTGAGATTTTGTATCAAAGGTTAAAATAGGTTATGGGAAGCCCCTCTGCAGAAACGGCTACGCCCAAATGTTTCTCTACAAAACATCATGGGCCTCGGAATAAGTAAATTTTGATTTTTGACTTTTTTTGTCTTTTTTAAAAAAATTTTCTTGAATACTACCCGCCCTAATCAATGATTTTGGGTTCAATTAAAAGAACAGTTTGTGGAAAGTTTTTCTACAGGTGCGGCTACGCCTTTTTTTATACAAATAAAAATGGCCTCCGGTAAAGTCAAGTTTTTGATTTTGACCGTTTTTTGAATTTTTGTACTTTTCTTGAAAACTACTCTTTTTTGTGAAACATGGATTTTATTTTCATACGTATTTTTTCTTATTACTTGAAAGTTCTGTTATTTGTCAATTTACCATGTCTGATTATGAATAACTTTGTTTTTTTGAGATTTTTTATCGACTATATGGTTTTGATTGATGCTTTGATTTATTTTGACCGCCAAAAAAATCCTGTTAGACAAATTTAGGTATTATGAAAATGTATGAGATTGGGTTTTCTATTTTTAATTTTTTGAGAAGCTTTTTCACTTTTTGCAAACAATTAATTCAGTTAAAAACTACCTCGACAAATTTCAAAAAATAGCGTATCAATTGTAATTTACCCTACTGTCTACAGCCTTAAAAAATTGTGTGGGGTAAAATTTTCACCAATTTTTTTTCGTTTTACCAGAAAATCCTCTCCTAAATCTGAGATTTTGTATTCAAAGGTTAAAATGGGTTATGGGAAGCCCCTCTGCAGAAACGGCTACGCCCAAATGTTTCTCTACAAAACATCATGGGCCTCGGAATAAGTAAATTTTGATTTTTGACTTTTTTTTGTCTTTTTTTAAAAAATTTTCTTGAATACTACCCGCCCTAATCAATGATTTTGGGTTCAATTAAAAGAACAGTTTGTGGAAAGTTTTTCTACAGGTGCGGCTACGCCTTTTTTTATACAAATAAAAATGGCCTCCGGTAAAGTCAAGTTTTTGATTTTGACCGTTTTTTGAATTTTTGTACTTTTCTTGAAAACTACCCTTTTTTGAGTTTTTGCGTTCAATTGAAATAAACAATTGAGTGAATCTTTTATTTTCAGCGGCTACGCCTATCTTTTTTTAACAAAAAAATTGATTTGCAGAAAAGTCAAATTTTTGATTTTTTGACATTTGTTTGGAAATTTTTTGGATTCAAAAACTGCCCAACGAATTATTAGTTGAGTAATCGGGTTCAATCGTGAAACCCGCTTTTGGAATTTTTCTCCGCTTAAGCGGCCACGACCTTCTCATTGCGAAAAAAGTTGTTGATTTCAAACAACTTTTTTGCACGTTTTTGAACTTTTGACCGTTTCTTAGAACTTTTTTCATTTTCTTAGAAGCTAACCTAACATATATGAGATCAAGGCTTCAATGGGAGGAACCGATTGAAAAAAATTTTTCCTGAAGAAACGGCAACTCTTTTTTTCTTTGTTTTTGAATTGGGAAAATTGCACCTCCTCAAAATTTTTTCCTTCTTAATTATTTTATCAGAGAAACAACTAAAATTTTGGTCAAAGTACAACTTTCAAATTAACCCCTACATCCCGCATCAGTATAACACTTACAAAAATATCAGTTTGCTACTTCCAGATTTAGCTGGACCCCATACTTTTCTTTTATAGAGTCCCAGAAACATTTTGGGCCTCATAGTTTTTTCAACATATTTCATTTTTTCTGCTTTAACTTCATTTTTAATATTTTTTGTTTGCGTTGTATTGCAAGTAGATGCTTAAGGTTGCTTCAACTCTGTCTCAAATAGGGCGTTCATGTATAAACCAAACAAACAATAATTTAAAAAATTCAAAAAAAACGTGCAAGACAACTAAGAAAAAGTTTGTTTTTAAATAAAAGGTTTATAGAACTTCTTAGAACGACAAATCGCAACAAAAGACAGAGTTTATAAATAAAAAAAAACCGCTCGTTTATCAGGGCAAAGCCCTAAATCTTCCTAGTGTCCTTTAACTTGTCTAGAAAATTTTTTGAAAAACGAAATAATCATGTGCATGGAATTGATACGAGCATTAACTTGCCTGAATTCAAATTGGAATAATTTTGTAAAGCTGGATATTTAGTATTAAAGGAGCAGTTTATTAAGATTCGTTTCAGAACGACGGTAGAGAAAAGTTGCTATACCGGTCTGCGCGCGCCCTCCTTGAATTTGGAGCACCGGGGTTGAATCCCCCATGCAGTAATTTTTTTCAAAATGTAGTATGAATAATAAAACTACCTCAACTATATATAATCCTCGCTTTAATCAAAAGTCGAGGAGTAATAAACAAGGTAATTTCAATCAGTTCATCAAAGCAAAAATTGGAAACTAAGAAACAAAAAAATTGGTCTAAGGATGGGTTTTCCAGGAGTACTTTTTCTTGAGCAATGGGTTATGCTCAACCCACTGTATCAGAAAGGACATTTTTTCAAATAAAGAAGGAGCTAATTTTAACCGACAAGCACTTGATTTGATTAAAATTTGGAAAAAACCTTATAAATAATATAAATAGTGGCAATTGCAACAAAAGAAAACAAAAACGCTGCAAAACTGTCAAAGCAATGATCTAAAGTTGCAGCTCTAAGCTGTTAGTTTTCAAATTTGGTCTCTAAAATTTCTTTATATTGAAAAAATTTTGACGCCTCAAAAGTTTTGATATTTCAGCATTTTTGGTTTTAAATTTACGTCAAAAGAAAATATAATTTTCATTCGGGATGTATACGAGTTGTATTTTTTTGCAAGTTGTCGTTTATTTAGAAAATTGCGTGTTGTCCGTTTTGCGCGTTATCTTGTGTTGCGAGTTGTCGCGGTACCACATAACTCGAGTGTTCATTAGTTTTTGTTGTAAAACCTTTTTAATATCATAGTTACAACCAAAAAGCTCAATTACAAACGGAACAAAATTGCTCGTGTCAGGGTGTAGCCCTAAATGTTAAGGTGTAGCCCTAAACTGCCTTTTGAGATTTATGGAGCACCAATATTATGAAAAAAATCAAAAGTAACAAAATAAAATGAAAACTTTTTAACTTGGAATAAATCATCCCCCCACGCGCCATATGAAGTCCAAAATGATAAATTTCGCTCCTAGTAACAAAACAATGATGACAAATAAGCTTCCTTCAACCAAGTTGGAACGATTCATAAGTCGGATTAAACCTCAGCTTACGCATTAATAGCGCGAAATATATCGCTGGTTATTTGTCCCAAATTGGCCAAAATGGCGATCTTTAAAACCTCATAACTTTACAAAAAATGACCACAAGTGAAATACCTTTTCAAATTTAAGCTCAGGACAACAATACTTTTAGAATGATATTTAAAAAATTTGTCAAAATTGCTAGTCAAAATCGAAGTTTGTCTGAAAAAACCCACCCCAAGCACAAAAATTTTATTATTTTTGTTACGAAAGTCGGAACAACAAATTTGGTCCAAATTCGAATTGTTGTTGAATTTCGTATTCGTTTTAAAGTTTTCAAATGTCAAAGTTCAATCAAGAGATAGTAATTTTCACACCTCTTTGTGCTTCTAATAATATTTATTGCTTTGTTTCCGCTGGTATTTCATAATCAAATAGGGAGTTAAATAATTGAAATATTCTAAATTTGATAGCCATTTTACTGAACAGTACTGTAAAATCTTGGTCAGGTCAAAACTTTCGCCTACTTCTCGGCAGGTAATTTTATGATTGAACTCACATATTGATCCCCAAACAAAATGGCAAAAAACAATTAAGCTGAAATCTGTGATAGTTTATGGGCTCGTTCATTCCTTTTCATAAAAAAATGGAGCCAAATAACGGAAAATTGATACATAAAATTGTTTCTTGTTGCAAAAGCAGAGTGCTCTGTCACGAAACAGTGTGCAAAAACAGTGCGTCCTGGCTATTTTCTACTCCGCCATTTGAATTTCAGTTTTGAAAACTATTTGACGTAATCATACTGTTATGAAATTTCGCTTTTGATGAAAAGGTCGATTCTGATTGGTTTAAAATTTCTTTTTTAAAACCAAGTTAACATCTTCACCCCCCCCCCTTCCCAAAGCCGTTTGGGGGAGGATGTTAACTTGGTTCTAAAATAGAAATTTTTAGCCAATCAGAATCGAGCATTTTACTTGCAACGTGAAGCAATTTTAATGCGAATTAAATTCTGGGGTGGAAGATCTGAACTTGGTCTATCTGGGGGGAGGGGGAAGATGTTAACTTGATCCGACAAAAAATTTTATATCAAGCGAAATGTATTGTTGTCCTAAGCTCAAATTTAAAAAGATATTTCACCTGTGATAATTTTTCGTAAAGTTATGGATGTTTAAAGATTGCCAATTTGGGATAATAAGCTATATGCTAAATGCATTACTTTGTACTTTACATAGCGTGAGGGGGCACCAGCGGATTTAGGTGGGGAGGAGGGGGGCGGACGCTTTCTTTCAGGGATTCTTGTTACTATTTTGAGATTCCATTTTACTAATTTAGAGCGGGGGGGGGGGAGGGAGCGTGCGCAGAAAAAAAACGCAATTTTTTGGTCAAAAATTTCCAAAAAGTTAAAAAAACCTTTTTTGCCTGTTTTTTTTTCAAAAATTTGCCCGCGGTGCACCAAGTTTGGTCATAATGGGGTCTTTTTGATTTACCTAAAACTGTAGACATAATTTTCAAAATTTTTTTGAAAATAAACATCCTCCCTCCCCTCGAAAAAATCGCAGCTCTCCCACCCCCCCCCCCCCCCCCCCCCCCCCCCTCGTGGGGGGTTGATTTTCAAAAAAATCTCAATATAAATTTAAATTTTTTTGAAAGCCATCTCAGTTTTTTCTGATGCGAACACTTCTCCATTGGTTTTAAAGAGCATTCCGAACATTCAGGGCTTCGCCCTGATACGAGCAGTCTTGTTCAGGCGCGAATCTAGGAATTTCTCGAGGGGGGAGGGCGGATTTTTTTTGCCATATCTTATTAAAATGTTATAACGATCTTATAACGATGTTATACGAGTCCCAAATCTTTTTGCCATATCTGCCCAAGCTATTCCTTCATTAAATATGTGCCTTAAGAAAAGTTGAACGATCCCAATTTTTCGCTGATCCCAATTTTTCGATGATATAAAAGAAAGGGATGGACGAACTCGTATTAAGAAAACGTTTTAGTTAACTTTTTGTTCATTGTCCACCTAAAAATGTGCCCAAGTTTATGACCAATTCCCAAGAATCCGGTTACTTAATTTGATATCATTCCTGTGATTCGCTGAGAAGTTGGCGCATTCATATTTTCTCGGTCAAAACTCACGGGTAGTTGTGCGAGATCGTTTTGGAAAAGATTAACAGAACAAGCCTCAGAACCGTATTTTTTTGTCAGGTGGAATTGAAATCAGTAGCGGATAAAAAAGAAGGGCATGCTGATTCAATCCGCTGCAATGTTACTCCTCTTATCTAACTTGTGACTAATCGAAACTGCTTTTTTCTAGGAGTTACGTTGTTTCTGGTTTAACTATTCACTGATGGGGAGTTGCGTGGACTGTTCTCTAATAGTTTACAATCGTTTTTCATATTTGTCACGAGGAGCTCAGAAAAGAAGTTTGGAGAACAAATGGAACCGGTCAAGTTAAGTGTAAAAGTTGTTTTGAAGTTATGACCCCCCCCCCCCCATTACTCCGCTACTGGTCCTTTTTTCCGAGTATTGTGCATTGAATGATAAGCTCTTTCTTCTTCGTTCAGTGAAAGATGTCGGAAAATGAGATTTTTATTCTGTACAATGGGCAAAAAGAAGTGTTCGATATTGAAGATGTTACTGACGAAAACTTGAAAGATTACTTTGGGTTTGAAGTGAAGTTTTTAATTGAAGAAGAAACGGGAAAAATTGTGTTTATCAGAAACCACGAAAAATTCAAATTAGGCTCAACATACAAATTGAGAACGGCACTTCCGTCGCAAGCCGAAGTAAATCAAAAACAGAAAATCAAAAGCAGAAAATCAAAAACCGAAAATCAAAAACATTCTGAAGATGAACAAAATAAAAAAATTGGCAACTTTCTTGCATCAAATAAAAGCACTGTTCAAAATGCACTTATTGCTTGTCTTGCTGCATATGATCAGAATCCAAAAGAATTCCTAGAGCATCGGATCCAGGACCATCATTTGAAATCTTTGGTCACTAGCGTCAATGGAGATTGCTCTTTTATCATTGCCGAAAGTGAAGATGAAACAACGTTGTACATTGCGTTCAACGGAACCGAATGTTTACAAGACTTGGTTACATATTTCAATGATCCTTCAAAACAATCTCCAGATGCCACTTCAGTCGAGAAAACGCGGGGATCCATTTTTCTGTCCCGAGCAAATGCATTCCCTTTTTCGACAGTTAACAAATTTATGGAGGGCAAAAATATTGTGCTATGTGGTCATTCTCTTGGAGGCACATTATCTGCCCTTGTTTATTGGCAGTTCAAATCCAATCAAAGTCGACATATCGAACTGACGCCATATGATGATGTTATCAATATAACCTTCGGTTCGCCACTGTTCGATGTTTTTTCCTTCAATTGCTTCGTCGAAAACAGTTCGAATCCAGATCCCCGTATGTATAATATTGTTTCTGAAAGTGACCCAGTTCCAAATTTAGTTTGCCTCGCTCAAATTGTTGCCGAACAAAAAATTAAACTTTCGATGAGCTCGACATTATTATCAATCAGGAATAACGCGAATTTTTGGCGCTGCAAAAAATTGTTGGAAAAGGTACTGCGAATCATAAGCGTTGTTGCTGATCCGAGAGCTGTTATGAGTAAGAAAATATCCGATTCGCTTTCGTCTTTGAAAGACGAAAATCTCGAAGAGGAAGAAAAGGAACTGCGCCGAAGGTTTTTTCACATAGGCAACTACATTGTGTTGCCAGAAGAAAACTCTGAAAAGTTTTACACGTGGAAGTCAGATAAAATAATGCATTGTTTTGAACATTTGAAGACAATCAACTGGGAAAAAGTTTACAGCCACAAGCTGGAAAACTATGAAATCAAAAAAGAAATAAAGAGTTGCTTCGAAAAAAGGACAGATGCAAGAGACAAAATTGAAACAATTGAGTTTTTCGAGCCAAGAGTAATTGACGGTGAGCTTGTATGTGAAGAAGATCAAGAAGATAAACTCGTAATTTTGAACTTGAAGGGGGAAAATATCGCATGTATTTGTCTAGAACGGTGTGAATTCAATTTCGGCTTTCGCTTTGGCGTGAACCGCAAATCTGAAATTAAACACGTCTTAGTGGGATCCAGTCCGAACAAAGAAGAGCTAATTATAAGTCAGGCAGTCGCCCAAGAAGACTTAATAAACTCTAGAATTTTTCACCTGAAACTTGCGACTGTTTTTGGAGAATGTGAATACACGCTGCGTAGGAATGAAATCAGAAACATTGAAGTGCCCACAGTCATGAAGTTCTCGAAAGATGCGCCAGCGTGCCAGATTTTGAAGAAAGCTTTTCACAGAGGAGTGGCCTTATTGGAAATATCTGATGGAATTAATTTGCACGGTCCACTCATTGAAGGAATTCTTGATTTAGCTAAATTGACCCTGGAAGAGAGCGAATTTGACCAATTATCGAGAATTTTTGATCTAGGAAAAGACGCTTTGCAGAATCTTGTGAATAATGAAGCGGAATATCAAAAAGTGCAGCAACTTTTTGAAAAAATTACCAACATTTTGCAAAGTGGCCTGCGTTTGGAGGCATCCAAAAGCGCCTTAGAGAAGTTAGGCATCGCTGTATGTGCCGTTGGAGCCGCAGGGGTTGGCGCTTTTTTAGCTGGCCCCGGGTGGCTTCTTTTTGGGACCATGCAAAGTCTTGGAATAGGGGGTGCTGTTGGATTATGTGGAGGTGGTTTTGGCGGTAACTGGCTCTTCTATAGGGATTTAGGACAGAGAAATTATTACTTCTTCCTTCAAATTGTCGGAAAGCAGCTATTTAAGGCATACAAAAAACGACTTCCTTTAGAGGAAACGCACCAGGATTTAGAAGATTTAATTCGGAGAGATGGCGTGTACCACCTGGAAAAAGCCCTCTCTCTAATGTACGACCCGCAACTAGGCAAAAACAACTTCAACGGCTGCGAACTTGAAGGGGTGTATGAAACATGCAAAGAGGAACTCACAAAACGAATTGAAGCTATCAAACAAATGCATGAGTTGCGTGAACAGTTGGCAAAGCAGTGTTTCATTGGAGTTATCGGTCCCCAGGATGCAGGAAAATCGACCTTTCTGAATCAAATGTGGAACTGCCACGCTCAGACTGGCATCAATCGCCATACAACCAAGCCTACACTTTACGACATTAATGACAAAATCAAAGTTATTGATTTCCCAGGACAAAACAGCTTCGAAGACTACTCCAGATCATTCAGTATTTGTGGATCAATGAACAATATCATCATTGTCATTCTCTATTTCACGGGCGATGTTAGTAAAATGGTAAGCAGCCAGTTGAAAAAAGTGTTCCACGCTGTCGCAGATTCTCCGGACCACCGAATTATTATCTGCGTAAATCAATGTGGGAACAAACTGAAAGATCTAGAAGACTATGAACTGGAACTGGAACAGACGGAGGCCGCGATAAAAAGTCCTCTGAAGCAGCTGAAGGCGAATTACATAAACAAAATTAACTCTTACTTCCGCGAGACAAACAATTCACTAAGAGTATCGTTGAATGAAAAAACGTATTTTTTACAGACTGGAAGCTAGATCAACACTTTCGAGATAGATTTGGAATTTCAGGAATCGAGGAAATAAAAGAGGTTTTGAAAAAGAGCATGATTGATTTGGGGGCTATCAAATCAACAGCTACAGACGATCTGAACGCAGCTTTCAGGCAGCTATAAATAAAGACAAGACTGCTCGTATCAGGGCGAAGCTTTGAATGTTTTGACTACCTTTTATGGTCTATAGAGCAGAGTTCGTTTTGAAAACTGATAGATACTTCAAAAAATAAGAATTTATTTAAATTATCCCCCACGCGCCATATAGAATACAAAATGATAGTTTTAGCTCCTAGTTACGTAGCAGTTTTGACAAATAGACAGCTTGCTTTAACCAAGTTGGAACTTTTTTAGGACGATATAATTCTCCGTTTACGCGTCAATAGCGCGAATATATCGCGCGTTAATTTTCCTAAATTGGCCATATTGGCAATCTTTAAACCACCAAAACTTTACAAAAAATGATAACAGGTGAAATATTTTTCCAAATTTAAGCTCAGGACAACAATATCTTTCGAATGATATAAAAAATGAAATAAAATAAAATGAAACACTTTTTTTTCTAAAATTAGAAAAATTTTGTATGAAAATCATGCCACATAAAGTGCAAAACAATAGATTTTGCTCCTTGTAACAAATCAGTTATGGCAAATAAGCTTCTTGCAACCAATTTGGAACGATTTCTAAGACGGATTATATCTCCGCTTACGCGTTATTAGGGCGAATTATAGCGCGCGTTAATTGTCCCAAATTGCTCAAAATGGCAACCTTTAAACCCTCATAATTTTACGAAAATGATCACCCGGAGTTTTTCTTTTCAAATTTGAGCTCAAGATATAAATAACCATTGAATGATACAAAAAGATTCCATCGAAATGGCTGGCTCAATTCAACTTCTTAACGAATTCTATCTTTTATCTAGCTCAATGTCTTAAACCAATGTCTCTGAATTACTTCTTATGTAAAAGTCTGCTAGTTAGTTTAATAGAGATCCCGTAACTTACCAAGTCTTAAACTAGTCTTTGTTTAAGTATACCTACGTCTTTTTAGCTATTCTTACAGTCAACTGGATTAACCTAATTTTTTAACATGGCGCAGTCAAATGCGTCGAATCTACGAGGCCTAGAGTTCTTTTGGAATAACGCATCAAGCGAGAACCACCAAGGCTGGGAGAAATAGGCGGATAGTTTCATCTAACAATCATCGCTAAAGATTCCGTGGATATCGAAGATGTGATTAACTCACCGGTGAGATCAGCCCACAAGGAAAAAATGAGAAGAAGGAAATCAGAAGATGACGCCGAAGTTATTGGCCTGCACATCGGTGACATTGACAAGAAATTAAAATCACAACTGTTCATGGCACTTGAGAAAGAATGACAAAAATGTTTTGCACTTAAAATCCGCGGTAAAAATATTTGATATAATTTTTTCCTAAGTTTTGGGAATTATTAAAAACCACGTTCACGATAACTACAAACCTGACTTACGAAAGATACATATTTTTCGCTCGAAGACAGAAAGATCATGAGTCATTAGAAAAGTTTCCCGAATTCTTCTCAGAACTGGCAAAAAATTGCCTAGAGACTGAATTAGTCAGAGAAATTTTTAATAATAATTTGAGGAAAATGAAATTCAGAAAAAAATGTGCATCGAATATCTGACCCCAGAAAATGTGGTAGCCTATGTACTAGTCCACGAGCAAGGCACGAAAATACCTTAACTTTATTTAAAAGTCTCTTGTTATACTACTGTACAAAAACCACATTATTTAAGAAACGAACCAATTCTAAATAATGCAGAGAAGTAATAAATGTAGAAATTGTGGCCAAAATTCAAGAAGGGTTACCTTAAATCTTGTCTAGCAAGAGAGAGAAACTGCAATACCTGCGGTTGCAAGTGCCCTTCCGCTAAGCACTGTAGAAGTTCAGGCAGAACACAAACCACCATAGTCGAACAAATTCCGAAACTACCCGAACAAGAAACCCACAGAAATAAGCCGTAGGATAACTCCGAGTCGAAGTAGATTTAGAAGACTTTTTAGTCATACCTGTAGATAATGATAACTAAGTGAATGCTGTGAAGGACAAAATCAAAAGAGGAAACAAGAACAGTTTTTAAACATGAAGGACTTGAACTGAGGAAGACACTGATCGTATCATGGGTAATTTTAATCCTTGCCTAACAGAAATACAAAATGACTCAGCCAGTCCGGTATCATTCATGAAAAGCGTACCAAGGCTTCGGAAGTACAATAAATATCATCGGAAAAGTCATAGTGAGAAAACAATCAAAGGAATGGGACGCCAAAGATCAACAACAGTTTATTTTTGAAGGGGCAGAAAGAAACTTATTGGGAAAGAAAAAACTACCAAATCTGGGAATATAGGTCTCACAGAAACAGGCTCCGCTCGCACTTTCAGACACGTGGAAGATCCCGGATAAAACACCCGTCGGGATAGAAGTAAAACAGATAAAGTTTGAATCTGACAGTCAACCTTGTCAATTTCTCGACACACCACTCCAACGTGAGTTCAAACTGTATATATCCAATCAATTTCCCGAACTTTAAAAAAAACAGGCATTGAAATGAGAATGGTGCGGAAACTGAAATGAGAATGGTGCAGAAACTTTGCATTTTTCACACATTGCAAAACTAGGATTAGCCAAAAAATGGGAGAAATGTAATTTTTTGACTCATGACATAGCGTGACTGTGATTCAAATTGACGCGGAGGGAACCGCCCCTTCAGTCCATAAATCCGACGCAAATTGAAACTTGAAAAAACCGCGATGTAGTAAGGACATAAGATCGTTAATAGGCTCAATCAACCAATTTAAGATACTCAATTCAAATTAAGATCCTTATCTACACCGTTTGGAGAGCTAATGCAAAACAATAAACAATTCAATTGGTGTGAATTACATTTTACTGCGTTCGAGAAAATCAAAAAGAAATTTGTAATACGGTAACACACCTCCATTTCGACGTCAACTCAGTACAAGAACAAAATGCAATGTCTCACAATTAGGATCGACGGGAGACTTGTTATACCAGCATGCCTAAGGACTACTATGCTACGTAGGCTACACAAAGCGCACCCTGGCCGATTCGCACGAAAAAGTCTGGTAACACTTTACATCTGGTTGCCGAAAATCTACCGAGAAATCCACGTTCACGGAGAGAACTGTATTGAGGGCGTTAAAGAAAGTAAAAATATAAAACCTCTATTAAAACTTGAAGACATCGGAAAGCTCCTATCGCTCGTAGAACCAAATCAAGAAAACGAGCTAAGCTTTGCCGGCCCGCTACTTTTAACTTACGGAACAAAAAACATATACTCGTGTGCGTAAACCGATTCTCAAAATCACCTTCTGCGCAAATAACATCTAGTAAATCTGCTAAGTGCTAAGTCTGTCATATAAGAAGTATATAACCCTACTTAACCTATAAGTATATAACCTTCTTAGGAAGTACATAACCCCGCACGGAATACCTAGAACCATTAGAACGGACCAAGGGTCGAGAATTGTTTTTAAAGAAGTCCGAGATTGTTGCCGAGAAAAAATAATTAACGTTATATTCAGCCCTCTGGGGTGAATAGAGCTACAGGCCTGGTCCAACAACTGATTAGAACAATTAAAGAACGATTCATGGTCATGGCACATGAAAAACTAAAATTTTCTTTAGAAATAGCTTTACTGAAAATTATTAAATGTTTATGGACTGTAACTTAACAATCACTAAATTTCTCTCTTTATAAATCAAATTTCGGTAGACCACCAAATACTATTTGGCACAATCTGGTAATTCTCCCATCATCAAAAAACTTGGATTGGAACAAAAAGCTATTATGTATAGATAAAGGGAGAAAACTAATGTGCGGGACAAACGATACGACTGGGACGCTCCCGATGATATAGAAGACGGACACTTGGACCACGAATCCTTCTCATCAGACGACACTACAAACGCTAACACATGCCAACAAGCTCAGGCTCCCCAGTGAAAGGCCTCTCTCGCTCCGATGAAGGTAAGTCCTAGGCGTGGTCATTCCCGTTCTGAATAAACCATCGGTAAGACCCATATCTATACAAAAGTTCAGAACAGAAAAGAGGACGAACCATACTATAAGGAACTTTAAAAAAAAGTAAGGGAACCGGATCATACAGTAGCTCATAAAAGTGGTAAAATAATCCGAAAATTTGATTTAGCCAGAAAAAGAGCCACTGAACCAAAGAAGGCAATCCCACGTAAGAAGAATCAAATGATTAAGTTTTATGCCACAAAAAGACCTAGAAAAGTGATAAAACCAGCCGGAAACGTCGGATTTAAAAACTCGAAGGCAACTCAAAACAAAGGAATCTCCAGGCTAAATACGAAGAATTAGACATTGCTAGATGAAACGCATCCATGAATAGTTCGAGGGAAACACTGTTACGAGAGGAGGAAGAGGAAAAAAAATGACTTAGATATCTCATTGGACTAGAAAGCAACCAAGATCAGATCCCGTGGGGCCAAGCCAGCTGACCATTACCGCCAGGCACATCAGACATAAAATCTGCAAACATGTCGTTGGAAACTATCTCTGATGACGACACTAGCGACTTTATATTACTCAAAGATTTTAAGGTACTTAAGAGAATCAATCTATAAGATACACAAGATAATACAGTTCAAGACCCAGCGAAAATATAAAAAGAAGCATTAAGGACAGAGGAACCGAACCTAGTAGACGAGCCAGACACTTCTCAAGCCGCAACCGACCCGAAACCTACTACCATCAACCTTGAGCAACCTACAATACCACCAAATTCTTCAGCTCGATAATCCGGAGGAAATGGATAATAGCCAACCTGAAATTTTGATTCAAGGTGAGAAGTCGGATTTCCAATACCCAACAACAATCGAGAACACGAAGGCGTTTACCATCCCAGTTGATACGGACCTCGCAATCCAGAGAATATACCCCATTTTGACCCAATTTTTTTCTAAGACAAAACCTATAAGAATGGCCAAGAGGAACGCATCGTCGCCCATCAAATCGTCGTTCATGAAATTGCCGCTTCCAAAAACGTCGGAACCCCTCATCAGACATAATACGAGACCTTTTCGAAAGGTTACATTACCAAGTCTTAAGCAAGTTTTAGTTTATTTATACCTACGTCTTTTTAGCTATTCTTATTTACAGTCAATTGGATTAACTTCTTGACATGGATAAAAATCCAAACTTGAGTACCGAGTACCTTTTATGGTCTATAGAGCAGAGTTCGTTTT